AGGGGATACGCCGCTGTAAAAAGTTTGAGAACCACTGGTCTATAGCCTGAATCCAATAGTAAAGAGAAAAATGGCAATATTTAAACTGAAATGACCCTGATTCTGTCCCAAATGCTATTTGCTATGCTTTTTTACTCATATATATATATATATATATATATATATATAAAATGTTGTCATGATAAGCATACCTCTCCAAATAACCATTCATGCGGCTTCAGTGTCTGGAAAGTACTGTGATGGAGCAGGTACTCTGTTTTTTCTTTTGGGTCCTGCAGAATGGCTACTATCAGCTCCGTTGGTTTACTTGTCCACAACACGTCAACCTACAATGTCATAAACTTGAATAAAAAACTGTTTATAGTGCTTTTTGGGTAATATTTATTGTATGTAATATTAATATTCTTACTTCTTTCTCTGAAACGGGGACTTCTGGAGGAACATTACAGGGATCACATGCTGTGTCTTGTTTCTCTCTCTTCATAGCTGTTGGTGAAACAGAAATGGTGTGCCTCTTTTTTTTGTCTTTTTTTTTGTGGGGGACTGGCACTCTGTTGGGCGCAGAGTAGAATTTAGATTTTTTTGCCAGGAACCTTGTCTGTTTCCTCATCCATGATTCCTGGGGTTCTCCACCGTTCACTGGTGGTGCAGGCTTGAGCAGTAAACCTTGGGACAGTTTGTTCTGGATTACATGCTCTTTGGATTGTTATATTCAGAATAATTTTGTTCAGTGTATATTCTTTTCAGACACCAGTTTCTTGTCACATTCAAATTGGTTGTCATAGTAGTGACACTAATTTGTGGAGATTCAGCGCACTGTGAGTTCCACAAATCTGAATGCATTATTTGTAAATTGACTGTTAAGATAAACATTTTGCACAATTTATTATCTGTAATATCATTGCATGCGACTAGATGCTGTATAAGCCCTATGTAACAATCTCTAGTAGCTAAGACATTGCACATAATTTACACATAAATCACACATAAATTAATTTTATTACATTTGGATTTGGATACATGTTTAGATATCATCAATGACTACTTTGTCTTTTTCTGTTTTTTGTTCAATTGTTTTGTTGCTGTTGCTTGAAACATTGATTTAAAGTGTCAGTTATTGCATTATTATTTCAGTCAAACGTATAAAACCCTTTGTTACCCCAAACTACATATAAAAGCCTGATCAGTGGCATAAAATTAATCAATGCAGCTACTTTATCCTTTGCTACTCATTAACGCGTGAACTTCCCCTTTAAATAACGTGAACTTCCCCTTTAAATTTTGGAAGTTGACAATTCTGACAATTTTCAAGCGACAGCTGAAAACTCATCTCTTTCGAAGCTACTTGACTTCATCATAAAAAAAAAAAAAAAATATTTATTCCTTCTCTTTCTAGCTTGTACTTATTTGAACAATGTCTAGAAACTTGGTATTACAGGCACTTCCTGTATCTGTTTGCCTCTTTAAGAAGAATCGCTTTATGTATCCCCCAATTATAAGTCGCTTTGGATAAAAGTGTCTGCAAAATGACTAAATGTAAATAACGTGATGCACTGCCCTCTGTGTATGACGCTGCTCCCATTAAGTGCTGTTAGAAGTGAATGAATTGATTCAGCATTAAACAAAGCGGTTTAATAAAGGATGTATTGATCTCGTGAATTAGCGAATTTTACTATACCAATATTTTTTAATTGGCTGTTAAAATTTATGATGTAAGATTTATGATCCCCCAATGATGATCCAGTGGGGGTGGCAGTCATATTTCAGGGTGACCATGCCACTCTTTATCACAACCCTGCTAAAATGTAGTGCTAGTACGTGTGCTCATTGGTGCCCCTTCAGCTGGTGGCGCCCTAGGCGACCGCCTAGCTCGCCTATGCCTAGAAACGGTACTGACATTAGCTATGTTTTACGGAAGAGGATTAGGACCAAGCAATAATAAAAAAATAAAACCATCTCGAGATTAAAGTCGTTAAATTTACAGAACAAAATCGTTAAATTTCAAGAAATAAGTCGAGATAAAATGTTGAGATTAAACTCATTAAATTTTGAGAATAAACTCGTTATGTTTCGAGAAAAAATGTGTTACATTTCGAGAAAAGTCTAAATAAATTGTTGAAAATAAACTCATTAAATAACGAGAAAAAAGTTTGTTAACAGAGTACGCTAAATAACAGACGAGAAGATACGGCTTTACCAACCACACAGTCGCTCTGACTGGCGCATTTTTATTAAAACAGAAAAAACACGTGCATTCCTTCAGTCACTGATTAGGTCACATGACATCTAGTGACATGACACATTAGACATCTGGATTGCCTGTCCCAAATAGAAAACAAAAATACAAATACAAATGAGAGCATACTATTCCACATGTCAACACCCCCACTTGCTCTCACATTGTTATTCCCTCATTCCACAGCTCATATACACCCAGTTCATAAACCGAACATAAACAAATTAAATTTCATCAACTTAAGTTTTGTTGCTGGTTTAGTTAGTACATCTGCAAACATATCTTCCGTTGGACAGTACTCCAGACTAATTCTCCCTTCATTAATTACTGACCTCACAAAATGGTATTTAATGTCAACATGTTTACACCTTTGTCTATACACAGGATTTTTCGCTAAAGCTATAGCACCCTGATTGTCTTCATAGACTATAAACTCATACATTATACCATCAATGTTTTGTAACAATTGCTGCAAGTATAAACAGTCCTGTATAGTTGCAGCTAATGCCATATACTCAGCCTCACATGTGGAAAGTGCAACAGTAGGCTGCCTTTTGGTCTTCCATGAGACCAATGGACCCTTTCTGTTTAGGCTAATGCAGTAACCTGTAGTACTCCGTCTATCATTAACATCTGCTGCCCAATTTGCATCGCTGTATGCATGTATAACGTTCTCATCTGCACCTTTCCTGTAACACAGTTCTTTGTCTTTGGTGCCTTGCAAATATCTCAAAACATGCTTTACAGTATTCCACTGTTCTATAGTTGGCTTATTGAAATATTGTGCCAGTTTACTCACTACAAAACTTAGGTCTGGCCTTGTACATGTTGCCAGGTAAATTAAGCTACCTACTGCTTCCCTGTATTTCTTGACATCACCCATTACATCAGCATTCTCAGTGTAATCTAGTTTCTGCTCACAAGGGACAACTCTGGGTTTACAGTTTTGCCTGTCAAATTTTTCAAGTAGTTTCTCAACATACCCCTGTTGTGACATTTTGACAAAATCAACACCTTGCTCAAAGTTAATGCCAAGAAAATGTGTCAGTTTTCCTAAATCCTTCATTCTAAACTTTAACATGAGCATCTCTTTTACACCTTTAAGCACACTCAGATCACTGGCAGCAATAATCAAGTCATCAACCCAAATAATTATGAAAACTTTCTCAGTTTTTGTAACTTTTGTGTAAACACAATGATCAGCTGGGTTTTGAACAAACTTGTTTTCACATAGGTATTCGTGTAACATTCTGTTCCAGTTTCTGCCAGACTGTTTAAGTCCATACAGTGATTTTTCTAGTTTACACACCAATTTTTCATTGCCTTGAGATTTTACCTTGTAACCCTCTGGCTGTTCTATATAAATCTCACATTCTATTGGCGCATGTAAATATGTAGTTTTTACATCCATCTGATGAACAATCAAATTTTCTTGTACTGCTTTTTGCATCAACACTCTGATACTAGTCATGCTAGCAGTTGGAGAAAAAGTCTCATCATAGTTTACACCTTTCTCTTGACTGTACCCTTTAGCAACATATCGTGCTTTGTACTTATCTGATCCATCACTATTTCTCTTAATTGCACAGACCCATTTACCCCCCACTACTTCCTTACCATCAGGCAGGTTAGTCAGGGTAAATGTAACATTTTCTCTCAATGAGTGCATTTCCTCATCCATAGCTTTAACCCATTCATTTGCATTTACTGATGTTACAGCTTCTTTGTAGGTTTGGGGTACATTACACACAAGTCTGTAACAGTAATCAATATTAGTCACATCACCTTCAATACCACAAACATAGTCACTCAAATAAGTTGGCCTTTTCCTGTCTCTTGCAGGATTTCTCCTTTCAGGTTTATCTTCTTCCTGTTGTGTTTGGTTACTATATACTACTGGTTCTTGAGTACTTTGTGAACTAACATCTGATTCTGATTTCACAGATTCCCTGAGAGGATTGTTTCTGGTCTCAAAACCATCATCATCATCTATCAGTATAGTCTCAGTACTCTTGGATACAAACTCCACTAGTCTGCATTTCTGTACCTTCCTGCTGTTAGGATAGTAAATCATGTATGCCGGACTATTCTTGTCGTATCCAACAAAAATACCCTTCTCACATCTTGAATCCAACTTTCCTAACTTCCCTCTGTCATGTATGTAAGCGTAGCATGCTACTCCGAATTTCTGCATCCTTGAAATGTTAGGCTGTTTACCTGTCAACATAAAGTAAGCTGTCTGTTTAGTGCGATTGTTGAAACATCTGTTTCTCACTACAGCAGCTGTCTGGACTGCATACGTCCACAATGTTCTTGGTTCTAGCCATGTCAAATAAGGTTCTCCAGTTCCGCTCAGCCGTGCCGTTCTGGTGTGGAGAGTACGGCGCTGAGGTCTCATGTCTAATACAGTTTCTGCTTAATAATGCCTGGTACTCCCTTCCTGTAAATTCCGTACCATTGTCAGACCTCATGCATTTTACCTTTCCATATGGAGCCATATCGGCAAGGAATTTTTCTGTGGCAGTCACTGTATCCCCCTTGTTTTTCAAAAAATAAACAAACACTGCACTGGAGTAATCATCTGTCAAAGATAGTGCATACTTATGACCGTCTCTAGATGCTGGGTCTATAGGCCCTGCTAAATCTGTATGTATCATTTCTAGGGCTGCTTTGGCTCTTGCATCAGGCCCTCTGTGCCTAGTTTGAATAAACGTTCCCTGTGTGCAAATTTCACAGCGTGGGATAGGTTTATCCATGCCCGCAATTTGCATACCGTCAACAACTTCCTCCAATTTAATTATATCCCCATGATTGCAGTGCCCTAATATTTCATGCCATGTCTGCAAATCATAACACTTCTTACATTGTTCAACACCTTCATTGTCTATTGTGTGCAAATAGTACAGTTTGTCGTGCACATGTATGGGGAATTTGGTACCGTCCTTATGTAGCAGAACGTTCTTCCCTTCTTTGAAGATCACCGTCGCTCCATTCGATGTGGCTGCTTTCACAGAGAAAATGTCCTGTGGATATGTTGGGATGTGTAGCGCGTTTCTTAGCATTGCTTTGACACGCCGTCCTGTGCCGTCAACCAAATATACCTCTTTGTCTCCTCTGTGCTTTGCGACCCCGTTGCACCGAGTGCCGTCAGCCAATTCCACGCAGTGTGTGTTGGCCTGGAAACTGCTGTCAAAACTCTGAAACTTCTCGATGTCCGTGATGATGTGTGAAGTTGCACCTGCATCCACCATTAGGCCTTTCCTCTTGGTATTCTGTACCCGCATTTCAGCGTCGCTTGCCCGGAAAGCATACTCCCTGTCACTTGGCTCTGCGGAAACTTTTTGTGCGTTATCCCGCTGCTTTCCCCGTCTGCATGTTGCGTCGCGGTGAGTGGTACTTCTGCACTGCCTACACCACTGTTTACGCTGACATGTCCTTGCTTTGTGGCCTTTTGTACCACACCTGTAACAAACAAACATGTTGGTACTTCCAGCACCACAAACAGTACTCGCTAAAGCGGTTTTTCTGCCAGGCTGCGCTCCTGCTTTCACAACATTGTCCTCGGATACGGTTGCCCGCATATTTTCAATGTCTTCGTAACTTCGAAGCCTCGTTTTAAATTCCGCAAAAGTCCATTTCTCATCTCTCTGGGTAACATGAATGGCAAATGGCTTAAATGTCTCTGGAAGTCCTTTCAGAACCATTGCTATTAAAAGTCCATCACTCAGATTCTCACCTGCGTTCCTCAAAGCGGTGATTGCGGTCTCAGCCCTGATGACATAATCAGTAACACACTCACTGTGCGACTTTTGCAATGACGTTAGCTCTGTGTATAAGCTAATTACTCTAGGCTTTCCTTTGCCAGCATAATATTCCCGAAGAATCTTCAATGCCGCTCTTCCATCGTCTGCTGCTTCCCTCATAACCAGCGACAAACTTTTGTCATCCAGGAACTGTATCAGCTCTGCATAGGCTTCGGCGTTTTTCGCCGTATCTTCCTCGTCTTCCTCAAAAGACTCGCTTAAAATAGTCTCTTTCAGTCCTTGCAAATAAAGATGGCCCAAAAACTTTGTCTCCCATAGCTCGTAGTTTTTCTCGTCTCCGTCAAAGACTAATCGAGACCAGCGGCTTGTCACGGTTTCTTTTTCTCTTCTTCTCATGTTGAAAGACTCGGGTACACGCTATATCCGTCGCGACTTTTACCCAGCGTCTTAACACTCCAAACGTTTTCTATTCTGCTCTGGGCCCATAACCTGTTAACAGAGTACGCTAAATAACAGACGAGAAGATACGGCTTTACCAACCACACAGTCGCTCTGACTGGCGCATTTTTATTAAAACAGAAAAAACACGTGCATTCCTTCAGTCACTGATTAGGTCACATGACATCTAGTGACATGACACATTAGACATCTGGATTGCCTGTCCCAAATAGAAAACAAAAATACAAATACAAATGAGAGCATACTATTCCACGTCAACAAAGTTGTTAAATTTCGAGAAAAAACTCGTTAAATTTTGAGAAAACAAATCGTTACATTTCAAGAAAATGTCTAAATAAAATGTTGAGAATAAACTCGTTAAATTGTGAGAAAAAAGTCGAGAATAAACACACTCATGTCGTGTTCATTTCATCTCGTTGGACAGTGTTATTCAGAGTCTGCAGTGGGGTGGGTTGGAGAGTAATGCACTGGGGAGTAGCGATGATACGATCGACTGGGTTCGAGTCTATCTTTTGCCAAACTCGCTTTTCTTCCTTTTCTCATCAAATATCACATCGGAAAATTGGAAATCAATTGCTTAACGAGTGTTTAATAATTATGTATTAATTAGGGGTAGGCAGGCTATAGGGAGAGCATTGTTGTCCCAATAAGGCAGCATCTATTTAATAATTTCAATAAATAAAATCATTGTTATTAAAATCAATGTTATTATTGCATCCTGTTAATGTACAATGTACATTAATAATTTAATTTAATTAATTTAAAGTAATTTAATTAGTTTAATCTCGAGATGGTTTTATTTTTTTATTATTGCTTGGCCCTAATCCTCTTCCGTAATGTTTCCATCCAACGATTTGAATTCAATTTATGCGCAAAACTGGAATATTGCATAAAACATTTGAGAATAAAGCACTGTTTCCATCCAAAGAGTCATTCCTGATAAACTGGCACTGTAGATCACTAAGAAAAGTAGGGGAAGCCACTTAATATAATACATTTCATATTTGATGTAATTCATCATATATGAAAATGCTCAGAGCATACAGACGAAACACAATAAATGCTGTCTTTGCTTTCGGAGGTGGATGCCTGCTGTTTGGGAACACAGTCGTGTAAGACAATTATACAGAACTACTTTGATGACAGCTAGACTTTGCTCAGGCATTTCAGAACAACCAAAACATTTCAAATGCTGTGCAACAAGATCGGTCTGTTGGAATTTATTCGGTAAATGTGTTTCCATCGTAGATTATTCGCATTTTTTCTTATCAGACAAAAAGTTTATCCTACTCAATTGTGTGCATACGTTTTTTATAAAATGAATCACTCTCTCGAACTCAGATAATGACAGAAGCTTTCACGCATATGCCAAGCATTCACCTCAAGTCTGAAGAATAATTTGGCCTTAGGTTAGTCAGGGTAAATGTAACATTTTCTCTCAATGAGTGCATTTCCTCATCCATAGCTTTAACCCATTCATTTGCATTTACTGATGTTACAGCTTCTTTGTAGGTTTGGGGTACATTACACACAAGTCTGTAACAGTAATCAATATTAGTCACATCACCTTCAATACCACAAACATAGTCACTCAAATAAGTTGGCCTTTTCCTGTCTCTTGCAGGATTTCTCCTTTCAGGTTTATCTTCTTCCTGTTGTGTTTGGTTACTATATACTACTGGTTCTTGAGTACTTTGTGAACTAACATCTGATTCTGATTTCACAGATTCCCTGAGAGGATTGTTTCTGGTCTCAAAACCATCATCATCATCTATCAGTATAGTCTCAGTACTCTTGGATACAAACTCCACTAGTCTGCATTTCTGTACCTTCCTGCTGTTAGGATAGTAAATCATGTATGCCGGACTATTCTTGTCGTATCCAACAAAAATACCCTTCTCACATCTTGAATCCAACTTTCCTAACTTCCCTCTGTCATGTATGTAAGCGTAGCATGCTACTCCGAATTTCTGCATCCTTGAAATGTTAGGCTGTTTACCTGTCAACATAAAGTAAGCTGTCTGTTTAGTGCGATTGTTGAAACATCTGTTTCTCACTACAGCAGCTGTCTGGACTGCATACGTCCACAATGTTCTTGGTAACCCACTTTCTATTAACATGCATCTAGCCATGTCAAATAAGGTTCTCCAGTTCCGCTCAGCCGTGCCGTTCTGGTGTGGAGAGTACGGCGCTGAGGTCTCATGTCTAATACAGTTTCTGCTTAATAATGCCTGGTACTCCCTTCCTGTAAATTCCGTACCATTGTCAGACCTCATGCATTTTACCTTTCCATATGGAGCCATATCGGCAAGGAATTTTTCTGTGGCAGTCACTGTATCCCCCTTGTTTTTCAAAAAATAAACAAACACTGCACTGGAGTAATCATCTGTGAAAGATAGTGCATACTTATGACCGTCTCTAGATGCTGGGTCTATAGGCCCTGCTAAATCTGTATGTATCATTCTGCTTTGTGCTTTGGCTCTTGCATCAGGCCCTCTGTGCCTAGTTTGAATAAACGTTCCCTGTGTGCACAGCGTGGGACGTGGGATAGGTTTATCCATACCCGCAATTTGCATACCGTCAACAACTTCCTCCAATTTAATTATATCCCCATGATTGCAGTGCCCTAATATTTCATGCCATGTCTGCAAATCATAACACTTCTTACATTGTTCAACACCTTCATTGTCTATTGTGTGCAAATAGTACAGTTTGTCGTGCACATGTATGGGGAATTTGGTACCGTCCTTATGTAGCAGAACGTTCTTCCCTTCTTTGAAGATCACCGTCGCTCCATTCGATGCGGCTGCTTTCACAGAGAAAATGTCCTGTGGATATGTTGGGATGTGTAGCGCGTTTCTTAGCATTGCTTTGACACGCCGTCCTGTGCCGTCAACCAAATATACCTCTTTGTCTCCTCTGTGCTTTGCGACCCCGTTGCACCGAGTGCCGTCAGGTCAGACCTCATGCATTTTACCTTTCCATATGGAGCCATATCGGCAAGGAATTTTTCTGTGGCAGTCACTGTATCCCCCTTGTTTTTCAAAAAATAAACAAACACTGCACTGGAGTAATCATCTGTGAAAGATAGTGCATACTTATGACCGTCTCTAGATGCTGGGTCTATAGGCCCTGCTAAATCTGTATGTATCATTTCTAGGGCTGCTTTGGCTCTTGCATCAGGCCCTCTGTTCCTAGTTTGAATAAACTTTCCATGTGTGCAAATTTCACAGCGTGGGATAGGTTTATCCATACCCGCAATTTGCATACCGTCAACAACTTCCTCCAATTTAATTATATCCCCATGATTGCAGTGCCCTAATATTTCATGCTATGTCTGCAAATCATAACACTTCTTACATCGTTCAACACCTTCATTGTCTATTGTGTGCAAATAGTACAGTTTGTCTAAATAAAATGTTGAGAATAAACTCATTAAATTACGCGAAAAAAGTTGTTAAATTGTGAGAAAAAAGTCGAGAATAAACACACTCGTATCATGTTCATTTCATCTCGTTGGACGGTGTTATTTAGCGTCTGCTGTGGGGTGGGTTGGAGAGTAATGCACTGGGGAGTAGCGACTGATACAATCGACTGGGTTTGAGTCCATCTTTTGCCAAACTCGCTTTTCTTCCTTTTCTCATCAAATATCACATCGGAAAATTGGAAATCAATTGCTTAACGAGTGTTTAATAATTATGTATTAATTAGGGGTAGGCAGGCTATAGGGAGAGCATTGTTGTCCCAATAAGGCAGCATCTATTTAATAATTTCAATAAATAAAATCATTGTTATTAAAATCAATGTTATTATTGCATCCTGTTAATGTACAACAATACTGAAGCCACATACAGCCTGCTCCTCTGTGTGTAGGCCTTCTCACCTGGCTTCCTGAAGTTCTGCATGTCTATAGTGAAAGCAGCATCTGCAGGAGAGAAAGTTCAAGTCAGTGACAGTGAAGTTGTAAATGGCGCAAATGCTCTTCAGCAACCAAAGTATAAAAAAAGTTGCGCACATCCCACACAGGGCTCAGGTGCAGGACCAAAAAAGTCAAACTATAGCAAAAATACAAACGTATTGTCCGCACACTGATATAACTGCTCCATAAGAATAATTTATTGCAACGTTTCGACCATCAGGTCTTCGTCAGGCACCCGATGGTCGAAACGTTGCAATAAATTATTCATATGGAGCAGTTATATCAGTGTGCGGACAATAAGTTTGTATTTTTGCTATAGTTTTACTTTTTTTGTCCTGCACCTGAGCCCCGTGTTGGTTTGTGGGATGTGCGCAACTTTTTTTACACTGGTTTTTGAGTCTTAAATTGTGCCATCCAGCGAGCGGTTTCAATTTTCAGCTGGTTTCTATGTAGATAGCTAGCTGTTTGAATAAGACCACTTATAAGCCATACACAGAGTCCAAGGCGATTCTTGTGTTGACATGCCCCACAGAAGAGAGAGGTGGGATGTGCAGTAGCTTATTATAATTTAATATGATTATGAGCAGTAGCTTAATATCACCAAAAAGGATCGCTGTGAACAGAGCTGTTTTTGACCAGGCACAAATGGTGTTGTTTTACACGACCATTGAGGAATTTCAACCAAAGTGTGTTACAGACATTTCATGAAGACCCTAAAGCATTGGTCTCAAACTCAATTCCTGGAGGGCCACAGCTCTGCACAGTTTAGCTCCAACCCTTGAGTGGGAGCTGGTTGGAGCTAAACTCTGCAGAGCTGTGGCCCTCCAGGAACTGAGTTTGAGACCACTGCCCTAAAGGATCATATCGACTTGTGAAAAATGGGCATCTGATGTCCCCTTTAAAGTCCAGACTGAAAACATGTTTACCTTTGCATTATCTTACTAAAGACCAATCAAATAATGCAGTTTGATTTTCATTTCATTCTGTTTATGTATTTTTATTTACAATCGTTCAGTGACATTGTGGCATTCCACAGTAAGATAGAAGTTTAATATTACTAATATTTTGATCCCAAGGTATCAGTACATGAAATGGAGCGACACCTCAATACAAGCAAAATTAGAGGGCATCTACGGCGACCACTCAACATTACAAATTGAGATGGTCAAATGTGGAGTTCAGAGTCGTCGATGTGTTCATGACAAGAAAATAAAGTCTAAATGGAAAGTATAAGGAGGAAAAGGTCATCAGATTTGGCGACGGTGTGAACGGAGCCTTAATTTCACACAGATCCGTATTTTCTGGTGCCATTTGAAACTGCTGAGCCATTTAAATCTCTTACCACACAAGGAACACAAATAGCGTCTCACATCTGTGTGACTTTTCAGGTGTATCTGTAGGTGTGATGGCAAAATAAATTTTATATTACATTGACCACAATTAAATCGTCTTTCTTCAGAGCGAATGCACACGTGATTTTTGAAATTGCTACTTTTCCTAAAGCTTTTGTCACACTCAGAACACTGCAATTTCTTTCCACAACCCGCTTGCAAATGATGTTTGAAGTGTCCTTGATATGTGAAACGCTTTTTACATTGAGGGCATGTGTAAGGCTTTTCTCCAGTGTGAATTCTCATGTGAGTCTTAAGGCTTACTTTACGGTTGAAACACCTTCCACAGTCCTGGCATTTGAAAGGCTTCTCTCCAGTGTGAATTATCATGTGAGTCTTCAGATTTCCTTTTTGTGAGAAGCTCTTTCCACACTGTTTGCATATATAAGGCCTTACTCCAGTGTGATCTCTCATGTGGCAATCAAGGGATGGTTTATAAGTGAAACGCTTTCCACACTGAGGGCACGTATAAGGTTTCTCTCCAGTGTGAAGTCTCATGTGAGCCTTAAGGCTTATTTTATGACTGAAACTTTTTCCACACTGCTGGCAATCGAGCTGCTGCTCTCCAGAGTGAATTACTACATGCTTGTTTAGGCGTTTCATGCTTGAGTAACTTTTTCCACACTGATCGCATATAAAACAATTCTCTCTTGAGTGAATCCTTATGTGCTGATTAAGGGTTACTTTACGTGTGAATTTCTTTCCACACTGATCACAAGTGAACGACTTCACGCCATTGTGAATGTTCATGTGATACCTACGGTTTAGTTCTGTTGTGAAGCTCTTTCCACACAGTTGACACGTGTAAGGCTTCTCTCCGGTGTGAATTCTCATGTGCCTTTTAAGGGCGCCTTTTTGAGTGAAACTTTTCCCACACTGTTGGCAGGTGAAAGATTTCTCTCCGGTGTGAATTCTCATGTGCCTTTTAAGGGCTCCTTTTTGTTTGAAAGTTTTCCCACACTGTTGGCAGGTGAAAGAATTCTCTTTGGTGTGAACTTTCATGTGGACTTTAAGGTTTCCTTTTTGAGTGAAAGTTTTTTCACACTGTTGGCAGCTGAAAGGCTTCTCTCCAGTGTGAATTCTCATGTGGACATTGAGGTTTTGTTTTTGATTGAAAATCCTTCCACACTGACGGCAGGTGAAACATTTGTTAGATTTTGTATTCAGATAACTTTTTTGTGATGAAGTCTTCTTGTCTGTCTGTCTGGATTTTTCACCAATAATGAAATCATGTTTCATGTAGTGTTTTTTCTCTTCCATTTCATTCAGTTCTTGACTCTCATCTTTCGGTGTCTTCAGACCTAAGGTGAAAAAATACAAATACAAGTTGACCTCAATTTAATGGCACAAAGCAACAGACATCAAAACCAACATGAACGTATTAAAACATCAAAGCTAACAACATGAATGCTAGAATCCTATACGCAATCTCTTGTAATACCATTTTTCAAACACAGCTTAACCCAGGAGAACTGGAGCTTATATTATAAAGCCAGTTTAGCTTGCTAGCCAGTTAAGTTTCAGTTTAGTTTGTGACAACTTTTAGGCACCATGAAAGTGGTTTGGCTTTTAGCAGTGTTCATTGCCATAGTAACTTACGCTCCACGGCTAACCTGCTCTAAGGCAGGTTATGTTCTGATTTAAAGATCTCAAACCAAAATGTGACCAATCAGCTTCGAGCAACGTGACATCTCTAACACAAAGTCACTCCCAGTTTCTCTTGCTCTAAATTCAAGGGCACTACATAGTAAAACATTTTTAAAAATAAAATTGTATGGCTTTCAGTGATAATTATTTATTAATAATTAATAAATATCATTTATATAATTATTATGCCCTTAATCATTACACAAGCCATTTTAATAAAAAAATTAAATAATTAAGCTTTTATTTTAAATGTGTGTGTGTGTATATATCTCAGTGTTTCCCACAGACTTAGCCTCGATTTGTGGCAGAATATATGCAAATTCATTCTCTGCCACAAGGAGGCACTTTTAGAGTGGAAGAGATAGCGGTTTCCCTGGTAACGGCTGTACTTAAAGCAGCATTGAGCTCACAAACGCTGCTTTATCAGGTATTACAGGCAAGATGAAATGAAAAGGATATCCAAAAATTTCTGAAGACATGTCGGTTTCCTTAAGAAATACAGCGATATAAAAACACCGGCACCGGGTTTCGATTTTGAAACGTGCAGTGCTCATGCTTATTCAACGAAGTCAAAGCATTTTGGAAAATCTATTTGTGGCAGTCAGTTTTGATATTGTGGCATGCTGCCACAAATAAATCAATGTATGGGAAGCACTGTGTATATATATATGACACAGTGACACAGCTCTTGCAAATTAACGTTACCTTTTTTGCTTGGCATCTGTCATTTCGAAGCCGAAGTAATCTCATATTACATACGTTTTTCTTTAGTATTAATTTGCCTAACTATCGATCTGACCCTGTAGACGCCATAATCACACACTCTCTCTCCCCCGCATTCTGTATTTTTTTTCTTTAATGGTGGGCGTTTACGCAGTTGGCTACAGCAGTGCTGATTGGGGAGAACGGAGGTGCTCTCACTCTATTGGTTAGTAAGGCTGCCACTCAAGGCTGGCAATCGTGCATGCATATGCTCTGGAACAGAGTAATATCGCGTCCACATTGCAGGCTTTGCGATTAGCAAACCGCAATGTCTCAAATCGCGATTCGATTTCGATTAATCGCACAGCCCTAATACACACACACATACTGTACATACATACACACACACACAGATAATATGTGATATAAATGAGCTTCAGAATTAATAGATAAAGCTTTAAACATGACTACACAAGCTTAGATTTGAGCCTCTGTACATGTATACAGTCAAGGTCCATATATATTTGGACACAGGCACAATTTTTATCATTTTAGCTACTGACCAAAACGTATTCAAGCTACAGTTATAAAATGAATATCGGCTTAAAACTTTAATTTGAGGATATTCTCATCAAAATCGGAGGAAAAGTTAAGGAATTACAGCTCTTTAATATGTACCTTCCCCATTTTTCAAGGGACCATAAGTAATTGGACAATTGACTCAAAAGCTGTTTCATGGACAGGCGTGGGCTATTCCTTCGTTAGTTCTACATCAATTAAGCAGGGAAAAAAGTCTGGAGATGATTCTAAGTGTGCCATTTGCATTTGGAAGCTGTTGCTGTGAACCCACATCATGCGGTCAAAGGAGCTCTCCATGCAAGTGAAACGGACAATTGTTAGGCTTCAAAAACAAAACAAATCCATCAGAGAGATAGCAGGAACATATGTATGTAACCATGGTTCCCTGAGTTGGGGAACGAGACACTGCATCCTCTAGGGGTCGCTATAGGGAACACATCGACATGACCTGTGTCTCACAACAACACATTGGCTGGCGACAGCTTATGACATCACTACCGGTGCGACCACAGCATAAAGAGGCGCCGGGGTCATCCGCTTCTTCGTCTGAAGCTTGTGTCCGAAGCATGGCAAGGAAACTAGAGGACGCAGTGTCTCGTTCCCTACTCAGGGAACCATTGTTACATACGTAACCTGAGACGTTTCCTTTCAAGGGAACTTTGAACGGCGTCCTCTAGGGGTCGATATGGGGAACGGTATACCCACACCACCATGCTGAGGGAAGTGTATGCCAAACCACAGGCGAGCACTAAGTACCAACTCTACCGAAGCTTCAAGGGAGTTGCCCCTGGGACGGTTAGACGGCTACCAGTGACATTATCCTATACGGCCAAAGTCCTAAGCTACATACCCCATAAACTTACCTGTTAGGGCCAGGACTCCTGGGCCTAGGGTAGAGCTCAAAGGCTTGGAATCAGGAACAGATTCCTTTAAGTGGATACGACCAAGTGCCTAGAATCGTAACTAGGTCTTGGCCTGTCACCCAAGGGGGCTACCGCTTGCTCTGCATGAGCTTGATGAAGGAACGGTCTCAACATAACCCTAGTAGCAACACCCTGTTAAAGTAGGTATCACTGAGGCTACATAGGTAGAGTGGTTCCCAAGGTGGAACCGGGGCCTGACCGACTCTAAGAAAGGGCACGAAGCCGCAGAGCATAACCCCTACCATACAGGATTTTTAGAAAGAACGCAAAATGCTTGATGTGTGAAATTACCACAGCGTGGATTTTAGGAATTGCACAGATACTTCGCGTGCACACTTACTGTGTGTTACACTTACTAACATGGATTTTAAAGATACCGTTGCTAAGGGGCCCTAGAGACTGTTTACCAGACAGACCTAGAGACCTTATGTGACCGTGGCACTCTGAGGGAGCAGTCCATAACATACACAGAGCGCACATAGATGGAAATGGCGCATCCCATAGAACAGAGGTTCTCAAACTTCTCCATGAAGTACCCCCAGCACTGCACATTTTGTATGTCTCCCTATATCTGACACACCCACTTCAGGTCTTGCAGTATCCACTAATGAGCTGATGAGTTGAATCAGGTGTGATAGAGGAGGGAGACATACAAAATGTGCAGGGCTGGGGGTATTCCAGGACAGGTTTGAGAACCACTGCCATAGAACAATATGTCTGAGAAGTCACCAACTCATCCTCATGGTAATAATGCTGGTCTGGCTAGTAGTAAGTTACCTAGCTGACAGAGCATAACACCCAGCTCTCAGCCGAGAGGGTGCGTGACCTACAGCATGTTCGTAGAAATCCTGAAGTGTAAGTGTACTGCAAGCTTAGCCAAAAAACTCAGCGTATGAGGGAGGCAGAGGGAGGGCCTAGTTCGCCTCATGTTGCTGGTTCCAGGTGCTCTGGGAAACAGAGAACTCAACTCTCCATGTGAGAGGAGAACTCCGAATTCAGAAAAAGGGGTAGCGTGCTAATAGGCAACCCTCTGAATGAGGGGAGCACTGCTAAAGTCCATCCACGAGACCAGCCCACGGAGCAGGGAATTCAACTCCTCTGAAGGGGAGGGAACTCGAACGCTCGGAAGGAAGCAGCATGCTCATAAATAACCCTCTACAGTGAGGGGAGCGATGCTGACTAGATTAAAGGCATTGAAACCCCAATCCAGCCTCGTGCTCTCTACCCGCTAGAGAGCATGGGTCCTGCTTTAACCAGACCCGCAGAGCCTGGAAACAACAGGGCCCAAACATGCATTTTTTTTCCACCCTGCTCAGAATGTATCAACAGAGATACATTAGTTGAGTGGAGCCCAAGGCGACCGGGGACCTAAGCCAACTCAGAGAAAGGGAACAAGGCTGTCAGCACGTAACCCTTACCATACAGGATTTTAGAAAGTGCGCAGAGTGCTTAGCGTGCACGCTTACCACAATGAGGATTTTAGAAAGTGCACAGAAGCTTAGCGTGTGCACTTACCATAGCATGGATTTAGAAAGATTCCGAAGCATTTGCTCACAGATGCCCATAAGTCCTCAGACACTCAATCGGGAGCGGCAGGCTCAAAGACAACCCTCTGAGGTGAGGGGAGCTCTGCCTGGCTTGACCCGAATAGAGGCAGCTTATCAGGGAAGCAGCAAGCGCCCTGATGTCACTGCCACGGAGCTCAAGAGCGGAGGGTTCAACCCCTAGTGAAGAGAGAGAGGAACTTTTTGTAGAGGACCTAACTCTCGAGTCGCAAGGAGGACTCACCCAGTCTGCCCAGGACCGGCGAGCTTCAAAGGGACCTTCCCGCAGTGAGGGCGGAGAGCTGTTTCTCCTCAGAGCCAAAGCACTCAGGCAGGGTTTCCGCAGAAACGACGCCCACTCATACCTCAGGGAATCCAGTGCACTCAGACCCACTGGCTCACCATGATGGCAGTACGGCGCAACTAGCGGACTGCAGAGTGGAGTAAAGCCGCTCGACGCCTCAGCGAGAGGAGCTCCATTCAGAGAAAGGATATCCTGACACAGGAAACCCCTCGGGGCGAACATGGGTATGGCGTCTCAGTCAGGGCAGCCTAAGAGGCATAAGCCCAGCCCGGGCGTCCAGGGGGGGGGCATCTCACAAAGCATACGCTCCGGAGAGCTCACCAGAAGGAAGGACCCGCAGATCCCAGAATTGTAGTGCTGTACTGGGGACCTGATGACCAAGAAGGCTCCCACAGAAGCCTAATGACTTGGCCACATGATCCAGGAAGCATGAAGCCGGAAACAGGGATATCATCCAGTCTGGATCCTGTATCGACGAGTGAGGTCATCACCGTAAAAGTCGATAGCTAAGGTTCTGAGTCCAGCAGAGGGGGTGCTCACCGAGGACCTACCCTAGACAAGGACAGAAACACAGGTCCCAGAAACACTGCAAAGAAGGCTAG